AGATTACCCAAGTCTTCTGTTACAGCAGCCCTAAGACACCCACCATAACCTATTTTCAGGGATGCCCTTTCTCCTTGAGATAGTTTGTGATTGCAGGAAGCCCAGATCATCACTCTGACAGAGTCCTGACAAGAAAGTCCACTTCCTTTCCTGGGTACAAAAGGAACAGCACACAGAGTGTCAAGAAACCACAAACCCCTGTACTCAGCTCCAGCAGAGGTTCCCAGAGTCCCTAGGAATCCCAGAAAAGTCACAAATAGGGACCTCTCACACCAAATACCCAAAGGCCAGTGAGCACCTCGCTGTTCTTCCCAACGCATCAGATGTATCCAGCATGGTCCTGCCACCCCCAGTGTCCCTTTCAGGCTAGAACTTCTTGGCCCAAAACTCCTGTTCAGGGGAGTAGGCCTGGGTGCAGCATGATCTTTGTGGAGAAGCAGCTTCTGACAGGACCATCCACAGGCTTGCAAGTGACCTGGCTAACAGTGGCCAGAGAGTTTGCTCAGCGGATCAGATCAGCTCCCCCCATACAGGGCAGAGGGGACTGGCCAGTAAGCAGTGAGAGAAGCAGGAGGCAAACAGACACTCAGAGCAGCAGAAAGGCCTAAGCATGGTGGCTGGAGTTGGGGCTGGGGGCACTGGGTCCAGCATAGCCACCAGTCCAAACACCAGGGTCAGTCCACAAGTACCCACAGGGCACAGCCCCTTAGGGACACCTGGAAGTGCCTTGGGGTTGCCTACAGACTCACAGCCTGTGGCTGCCCACTGCTGCCTAACGGCCCCCCAAGCTGGGGGGCAAGACACTTGAGCCTTGGGCCAGGAAGACGTCTGCAGTAATGCTCCCTGCTCCTTCCTGCCCCGTTTTTTGTCTTCTAGCCCCAAGCAGACCTAAAGAACCTAAGGGCAGAGAATAGATTTTGTGTTAGACAAAGTTTTGTTTTGTTAGCTTATTTGTTAGCTCCCGTGCCGGCAGAGCACCAGGCATAAAGAAGCAACTCCACACTGGGAACCACTAGCCCAGAGGGCATACGGAGGGCCAGGGCCAGACAGGATTCCTGCATCTGGATGCCTCACAGGCACCGGCAAGAAAAGTCCTCGCGGCTCGGCGCCTATAGCTCACCCGGCTAGGGCGCCAGCCACGTACACCTAAGGTGGCGGGTTCGAATCCCCAGCCCGACCCGCCAAACAACAATGACGGCTGCAACCAAAAAATAGCCGGGCGTTGTGGCGGGCGCCTGTGGTCCCAGCTACTTGGGAGGCGGAGGCAGGAGACTCGCTTGAGCCCAGGAGTTGGAGGTTGCTGTGAGCTGTAATGCCACGGCACTCTGCCCAGGGGGGACAGCTTGAGGCTCTGTCTCAAAAAAAAAAAAAAAAAAGAAAAGTCCTCACCATGCCACTGTGGCCTGAGGCAGCCTCAGGCCCATCACTCTTCTTGCTGTGTCCCTGGCTATGTGGCCTTTTCCTCTCCAGTAGCAGTTCCAGGGAATGCCAGGCCACAACTGGAGCCTAGAGTGCAGTGATGGTACTGCCATAGGAGAACTGGGGACAGGGGAAGGGGGAGACAGTGGCAAGATGGGGGCAGGGCACAGGACACGCCTGGCATTCACTGGCTCTGAGACAGCTCACCTTGCACGGGCACAGGAAAGAGCTGATAGCCTCTCTAGCCTAGCAGAGGAGGTGCTGTGAAGACTGTGGAGAGGAGGAGACAGGGCACCCCCAGATGCAAGAACATCTCTCTCGGTCACAGTCTGGCTCCAAAGAAAGCCCTAGATAGGAGCAGGGAAGAAGTGAGGCTCAACAGCAGCGTAGCCATTAAGAACGCCAGCAGGAGGTTAGACTTGGTTCTAACCTCTCCTTTACCACTAATCTCCTGTGTGGCCTTAGGAAAGCCACTTAGCCTCCCTTTGCCTCTTTCCTCACCTGTGAAATGGGGGTGACAATCTCTAATGTCAAAGACCTCTTGTGAGGATTATGCTAAGGTATCACACCCATAACACAGGACGGGCACACAGGACTTTATCAAGTGTGGCAAAAGAAGCTATCGCTCTTCCCCAGGGAAGGATGAAATGAAGGAGCCCAGAGTCCCAGTGTGGGCACAGAAAGAGCTATGGGAAGCAGAGGGGGGAGCTCCTAATGGGGAGAGGGCAGAGGGCGTGGCAGGAAGGGAAGGCAGAGCCAGCACTAAGCTGAATTTCAAAGAGAAGAGAAAATGGCATAGTAGAGCCCACATGGCTCCCAGGGTCTGGCCACAACCTATTAATAAATTCTGGCACAGGCAGGTTATATACCTCATGGGTTAACGTCAGGTGCCAGCTTGCCAGCCTGCCAAGTGCCACATGCTTCAATGGAAACAAGACTGCTTCTGGGTGCCGAATGTTATCACCATGATCAACCAACCACAGACCAAAGGACAGGTAGTATGACCTGAGCCTTTTCATTAGCAATGAGATGCCACAACAAGGAACAACTCAATACACCTGAAACCCAAGGCAGACACTCAATATCCGGGCCATGCTGGCTCCAGTTACCAAGCCTGAGTCCCAGGAACACCTTCCACCCGCTTAGGAGTCTGCATGCACTGAACATGTGGGGTTCCCATAGGTTGTGGCAGGAGGTTACCTCCAAAAAGGTCACCCCTGAGGGAGGTGAGTGCCTGACTTTGTCACCCCAAACAAGGCATCATAATAATGCCCATTTCAAAACCCTTTTCTCTCAGCAAAAAGTATATCAGGAGACCAATAACGCCATCTCCCCCAGCTGAGGACAGGTGACGGAAAGGACAGGGAGGAGACGACACAGGGAGGGCTGGGAGACAAAGCAAGATAAGGGGTCCTGGCTCACGATGTCCCGCACAGCATGGGGGGCACCTGTGTCCAAACCTGCCCCTTGCTTGTCCCTGCCCTTCTGTCTGGGAACTCCCAGCTCACTGCCGGCCCGTGTGCTGACTGATGTCCTCCTCTACAGAGCTCACACTGGCCCTCACACCAGCTCCACTCGGGGGAAAGATGCACCCCAGAGCTCTGGACAAATGCATTAGTCCCCACTTGCATGGCCTTGCTCTGGGAGTGACAGGAAGCAGGAATAAAACAAGGGGCCTGGGTCTTGGCAAAACGAATCCCGATCCTCTAACTCACTCCAAAGTTGCATTTTAATATCTAGAGCATGGGGGTCAAGACATCTGATTCAGATGCTCACCCATAAGGAATGCTCAAGACTTCAGAGGGATATTCTGTTTCTTGTCCAAATCTCAAACAGATACGAACATACTTACACCCTCAACATAAGACAATCAGAGAGAGAGGACCAGGACAACTCTAGGGGCCACCACCGTCACATATAGTCTTGAAGGGTCAGTCATTGGGAACCCTGGGCCTCAGCCCCCAGAGACTGTTATAACCTGGAAGGATTTCCCAGTCAAACATGCAGTCTTGGGAGGCTGGAAGGAAAGCGTGGCCCCAGTGCTCCTAGAAGCTTCTAACTAAAAAGCCTCTTGCTGCCAAGGGGGTCCTGGCAGGTCACTCCAGCAGCTGGCTGAGCTGATGGGCATCCTCTGACATTAGCAGTGACCCTGAATGACAGAAACCAACCTTGGACCTCCACACGCACCAAGGAAGACCCCACACACACTGGGATCACAGAAGCTCCTTTCTCACTCTGCTATGGGCTTCTCCTAGGACAGGATCTCAGCAAAAGAGTGAAAAACTGCTAGAAACAGGTCACTCCTTGCAGAAGACCTCCATCTTTTTATTTCAAACATGTGCCTAGCATGGCGAGCTTCTGTTTTATGAGTCCCAAGAAACCAATACTACCTGCAACCTCCCTCAGGGAAGAGTGAGAGTCCTCTAGGAAAATGCATGCATTCCTTCATTCACTCAAACAGTTACTGAATCCTTACTGTATGCCAGGAACTAAGCAAGGTATTAGAAGGCAAGCGGTGAACAACGCAGAAGAATCTTTGTTGTCACAGAGCTTCCATTCTAGTGGGAAAGACAGACAGCAAGTAACTAACGCCTAATTTCAGAGCAGTGTTACAAACTGGAAGCAGGATTAGCTCTGCGCCCATAGCACAGTGGTTATAGCGCCAGCCATATACACTGGGGCTGGCGGGTTCGAGCCCCAGTCCAAGCCAGCTAAACAACAATGACAACTGCAACAAAAAATAGCCAGGCGTGGTGGCGGCGCCTGTAATCCTAGCCTTGGGAGGCTGAAGCTAGAGAATCACTTAAGCCTAAGTCTTTGAGGTTGCTGTGAGCTGACATGACGGCATTCTACCGACGGTGACATAGTGAGACTGTCTCAAAAAAAAAAAAAAAAAAAGCAGAAGCAGGATAAATAGTAGACACCCGTGTGTAAGCTATTTCAGACTGGCTGGTTGATGAGGACCTTTTGAAGGAAGTGATATTCTGAGATGAGGTCTGAATGACAACAAGGTACCAGTAGGGAAAAGATGTGAAAGATCAGGCCTCAGGCAGAGGACAAGGTTCAGTCAAACTCTTGGTTCATCTGAAGAGAAAAGGCCAGTGACCACCATTATTCTTTACTGTTACAAAGAGGAGAGCCACAGCAGGGCCCTTTCCTTCTCTTGGATCTCATAGGGACCCTCACACATGCACATTTACACACATGCGCTTGTTTAGAGCTGGAACCTGAAGAAAACACCAAGAAACTTCTCAAACACCAACAAGGCCAAGTTGGGAACTCCTTGCCCTGATTGGTAAGGAGGTCCCCTGCACTGGCAAGATGGGTGTGTAGAGCCCACCATCTTTGTGCACACGGCAGGTGCACAGACCAGGTGCTCAGGGAATGGTGCTCCCTGGCCCCCTGCTTGCCCCTCTGCCTTGTGCACAGGATCCTAGAGCCTCTGGGACACGTGCAGTATGCTGCAGCCTCCCAGGCCCACTCCCCTCTGGCAGGCTCCAAGACCTGGGCCTCCCCCTCCCTGAGCCTTCTCTGGCAGGAGCACAGAAGCATCACTGAGGCAGCCACAACTACCAGGTTACCCAGCCCTCACTTCCACAGCCTCCTCCTCCTGAGCCAGCATCTCAGGCAGGGCTGTGCTGATGGCAGCAGAAGGTTCAGGGAAGAGGAGGTGCATCTCGCTCCGCCAGCAAGCTCCTAGAAAGGATCTTGAACTTAAGCTGGTATGACCAAGGCCAGCCCCAGCTAGACTGAAGGGAGCAATCCCAAGGTCCTTCCCCACCCCTTTCTCTCCTGGGGAATCTTGCTTAGTCTTTAAAACCCCACTCAAATGTCACTTCCTGGGAGGCACCTGTGGCTCAGTGAGTAGGGCGCTGGCCCCATATACCGAGAGTGGCGAGTTCAAACCTGGCCTGGGCCAAACTGCAACAAAAAAAATAGCCGGGTGTTCTGGTGGGCACCTGTATTCCCAGCTACTTGGGAAGCTGAGGCGAGAGAATCGCCTAAGCCCAGGAGTTGGAGGTTGCTCTGAGCTGTGTGATGCCACTGCATTTCACCTAGGGGGATAAAGTGAGACTCTGTCTCTACAAAAAAAATAAAAATTAAAAAATGTCACTCCCTCTTTGAAGCCTTTGCCAGCCTCCCCAGGAGGGATTTCTTACTATTTTGTGACTCCAAAGCATTCTACCATTTCTTTTGCATAATATTCTGGTTGTTTATTTGGATGCCTGACTCTGAACACTGTGAGCTCACAGGGGCAAAGCGGCATCTTATTCATGTCATATTCTCATTGCCTGGAAGAAGGGAGCTCACTAAATATCATTCAACAGAGTTGAAAAAATGAGTGAGTGAGTGAGTGAAAAAATGAATGAATAAATGAAGTCTGTACATACCTGGAGCAAAGATCGCCAGGGAGAAAAGTTTCATCAGAGAGTGTAACCAAGGAAAATACTCACATTTCAAAGTCAACTGCTGGCCCTGTCTTGGAGCACAGCGCCACAGTCACAGAGTTCTTGGCAAACCTGTGATCATAATGGTGACTTGAGGGCAACACCGGCTCTCAGCCACAGAGGCCCTCCATGGGGATCCTCTGTCACAGGCCTGACTCTCCCTCAGGAACTGTGCAAAGGGAGCAGACTGAGCCAGCAACAGAGGCACAGCCATCCCTGGGTTCCCCGGACCTCGTGTAGGGAGGGGGAACTCCAGGAGTGAAGTTCCACATGGCCACCTGCAGAAGGACTTCTGGGATAAAGGGTATGCCCAAAGCCGGTCTGGAGAAACTTGAGGACAGGAGACAGGAAGCCCTGTGCCCTCCTTGACAAAGCTCACTAACCAGGCAGAAAAGCCAAGGAACAGTCAGAGGCCTATACAGAAAATTGGCAGTTTTATAAGGAAACTGGTGCAAATATTGGATTACAAAAGGAGACACTCTGCAAAGAGCTGGTGATTAGAGCAGAAAGGTAATGGCCAAATATCAACTTTCATGTTGTAAACCTCATCACCAACCTGTCTGGGGAGGAGGAGGCAGCAGGGAGCAGGAGGAAAGAACAGAAACCTGGAGTACAGGGAGGCAGGGGGGAACCCAGTGCTAAAAGCCCTGCAGGTCCATGAATGTGGCATGCATCAGATAGGCTGAAACCAAGTTTGTTCCATGTCCTCAGGGAAGGGGGTGGGAGGCTGGGCCTTGGCCTGAGTCTTAAGGCAGAGTTACCCCTATCACCTCCAGTCACCCCAGGGCCCTGCACCTCCTCACCACCTCACACTTCCTTCTCAGATGCTGGCACCACCAGAGGGATGGGGCTATTAGGTAAGAAACTGAAATGAAACAGCCTGCTGTGCTCCCCGCCGTAATCCTGCTCCCTGGCTTCTGTCCATTTTGTTCATTACCGTGTCCCTGGCTCCCAACATGGTGCCAGCACAGAATGGGGTTCAGCAGTTAGTGCCGGAGTCCCTGACTGCACAAGTGATGGACAGGATGACCTCCCAGCATGCTGTTGACAGTTTACTTGTCTCTACAACATTCCTATAAGCCAGGAATAATAGTAACAGTAATATGATGATGGTGAAAGAGGCTGCTGAGGGTTCTGCGGCGTGCTTCGTATCCTTTGGACTCTGTACCCTTCACAACAGCCTCTAAGGAATGTTCTGTTACTGCCTTCAATTTACAGATGCAGAAACTAAGCACAAAGATGTTAAATGTCTGAATGTTGCAGAGGCAATAATGATGCCACAGGAAATGTCTCTTTCCATCCCACTCATCACATCTCACCTTCTTTTCCTTTCTAAAGGGCCTGGGGAATAGGGTGGGAAGAGACTGAGCTCAGGCTGAGTGGTGAAGGGGAGCTAAGACCTGCCAAGCAGAGCAGACCCAGCCTTGTTCTGTGACTGTCACGCTGCACTTGTACCCAGCTCTTCTCACTCTGGAAACCTGCAGGCCCTGGGCTATGCCACCATCTGTTTGGTCACTCAATTCCAGGATCAGACCTACCCCCCCTCGCTTCCCCACTCACCCTCTTCCTCCCTCTACAGTCACCACAAGCCCTGGCCCCAGGCAGCCAGAGCCAGTTCCAGTAGAACTTCCAGAGAAAGGTGCCAGGGCAGCAGCAAGGAGAAAGCAGCCCTGGAGCCACAGAAGTCCAACCAGTCCAACCAGAAAATCCACAGGCCACAGCTTCCTTCTCACCCAGCAGGGGTGCAGCCCCAGGGTGGCCGTTAAAACAAAAGGTCCACATCCCAGCACTCTGCTAGACAGGCAGGTGGATCACCAGAGCTTAGACCAGCCTGAGCCAGAGCTTCTCTAAAAATAGCTGGACATTGTGGTGGGTACCTGTAGTCCCAGCTACTTGGGAGGCTAAGGCAAGAGAATCATTGAGCCCAGGAGTTTGAGGTTGCTGTAAGCTATGACGCCATGGCACTCTACTGAGGGTAACAAAGTGAGATTCTGTCTTAAAAAAAAAAAAAGAAAAAGGTCCGGGAAGCAGGTGGCAGGAAGACCAAGGATGGAGGGAGAAAACCAACTTCCTTTGGTTTGCATTTATGGCTTCTGTTTCACTCCTGGCCACCAGGCAGAAAGGTCCTTAGAGGTCCTTCGAACATAGATGCCCACGTGGGACATCTCCTCCCTGCCTGGGCAGACAGCATGGGTCGCATGAGATCCTTTCCTAAGTTGCCAGTTTGAGCAGTTTAAACCGCTCTCCACTTCTGGAGGGAAACTAAAGAGGTAGTCATCGGGAGCCTGGTGACGGTACAATGGGGGTGGGGGGCTTTATGTCCAGATACTCTCGCAGGCCTCCTCTGGTCTCCCTGCTTCAAGTCTTAGCCCCTCTCTGGCCAACGTCCTGAGTACCCCCCTTTAAAACCTTTTCTACCATCACCAAGGCTCACATTCCATCTCTTCAGCTGGGCCCTCAGTGCCCTCTGCCAACCAGTCCTGACACTCACTCCTTAATTAAACAACACAGACTGGAGTCTGCCAGACCCTATAGTAGAAAATGCAAAAATAAAGAGGATTTTGCCTCACCCTTAAGGCACTTATGGTTTGGGAGACAGAGAACATTCTCGCTCTTCTAAAAACTTGCCTTTGTTGCAGCCAGACTGCCCAGAGTCCCAAGGACACCCACTCAGTTCCCACCTCTGTTATCTCTACCGAGTTGTTCCATCTGCTCCCTTCTGCTGCAGGAAGCTACAAGCGGCCCACGCGTGAAGGCCTAGCTCATCCTCCCCTGCTGGTTCTAGGACACGGGTCTCTCTCCTCCACCTCTGATAGCACTTATGGTCCCACTGCCATTCACTGGCTGCCCCATGGAATGTCTCACTGGTCATTTAGCTTCTGACACTCACTGTGAGCCCTTCGACCCTTTGTCAGAGTGAGAGTGACTGTAATGATCACAAGCGATCCCCTCATTTGAGGAATGCTTCCCCACATGGTCTCAGACATAGTACCTCATCTTGGCAACAGCTCTTTTTTGCCTATGCCTTGCCTCCCCAACTAGATTATAGTTTTGAGGGCAGAAAAAAGTAGGCAGCAGTATGTCTCTGAAATGCCTGGCACAGTAGTAGTGAATGCTCAGTTAATTTGTCTAACAGGTAAGAAAGATGCCAACCACTCCCCTCTGCCCCATTTGAGCCAGCACAGCCACACAGCAAGGTGACTCTAATAGCAGAGACCAGCACAGTAGGGCCACCTCCCCACCCGCTGGCCAGAAAGAAGAGATGGGTGGGGAGAGGGACAGTCAGTGCCTCAGTCGGGGGTGGGGGGGTGGGGGGGGTGTTCCTCCCTGCTTCCTGGCAGGCTCTTCTCTGAAATATCACAGGCTTGTAAAATTAAGAGAAGTACACAGTAGCTCGAGGGAGTGCCAGCCCAAGGGCTATCAACATGAGGAGAGCCAAGAATCTCAACTCTGTCTTGGCAGTAACTAGGTAATTGTCTTATTTTCCCCATTCACAAAGAGAAAAAAAAAAGACACCCCTTCCTACCCCATGTCCTGTGTCTAGATCAATGCCCAGCATGGTCAAAGAACGTGTTTTAGACAAGGCACAGCTCAAGAGTGGTGACTGTGTGTATTATTCATCTTGGAAGCTCTAGGTCTTAGTGCCATGCCCAACATACAGGACACACTTTGTTAAATAAGTTAATGAATAGAACTTAGTAGCACATGTTTCCTTGGCTCTTTGTCTCCTGGCTGTCCCTTCAATGTCCTTGAGAAACTTTCTGTATCATTTAAGGAAAAAGCTATTCTGGACCATCCAACTCCTCTTAAGTTTTAATTAATGCTGAAAAACACTCAAGACAAGGTAGAATCTCTTTGTAAGCTTTAAATAAGAAAGCATTAGAGCAATGCAGTAGGCCAGATTACAAAAGGCTGCTGTGAAAAAAGACAGAATCCAAACTCCTAAAGAGTCCTGTGTATCTTGTGGAAAGGGGGACCAGACCACAAACAGCAGAGGAAGAACTGTGGGGACCATCTTTAGGTTTTAGACCAACATGCCAAGGGCCTTGAGGGGAGAAGGTGCTGCCCAGACCCCCTACCAAGTTCATTGATTGACTTCTGCCCTCAAAGTGGCCTACCCCAGAGGGTTTCTGAGGAAGTTAAGTCCCTAAGACCTGTGTTCACCTATTAGCAGGCAAATGTGTGTAAGGAAGGCAAGATGAAAAGAAAAGGAGAAGGGCTGGTGGTTAGAGGTATGGGGCATGGGACTCCCTTTAACGAAAGCACCAGACTCAGGCAGCTATCCTGGTATTTTAGAAATAGGAGTTCCCTCATTTTTCTGCTGAAACAGGGGACACAGGTTCCTTAGGGGCAGTTAACTCTCAGACATAAGGCAGGAGTCCCAAGAGCTTCTGAAATGAGGTGGCTGAATGAAGCCCTGAAGGGGAAAAGTCACTCCTAGGACTTGGAATATGGCCAGGATACCAGGGTGTAAACTACTGCTCTTCAGGCAAAAGCCAGGGGACCCCAGGCAGCCCACAGCTCTCTGCAGATAGGTCAGGTGCTCCTGGCACCAGGCCCACTTCAAAAATAGTCACTGCAAATTTCCTTAAGTGATAACCTGCTGCCCTTTGTCCCTGAGCCTGCAACCTGTCCCCATACCCCAGCTGTTTCCTCAGCTACTCCCTCACTCACTCACATGCCTGTCTCCAACACCTGTCTCTTCTCTGAACCTTCCCCAGAAGCACGAAGCCTTCCCTTGGACAAGGCTCCATGTCCAGGCCCTACCCTTCTCTCTGAAATGTCTCTCATCCAAACTGAGGCCCAGCCCAGGCTCCTGGATCTCCTTGGAGCTTGCCTAATAGATCATTTTAGAAGGATGGATGAGTTCTGTTCCCTGACCCTAAATTCTTTGAAGATAGAGAAACAAAGAGAGAAAGCGCTCAATCGTAATAACAACCAGCATTTACCCAGCATTATGAGCTTCTAACTTAGTGCTAAGTGCTTTGCAAACATTGTCTCATTTAATCATCACAAAAGAGGTAGGTAGCACTATCATACCCATTCTACAGAAGAGAAACTAAAGGTCAGCGGCTTAAGTGCTACTGTGCCTTGGAGGTCACTCTGCCCCAGAGTGAGGTATCCAGGTCTGAGTGCAAAGTTTGCCTCTTAACTGGAAGGCTCTGCTCTTCCTGGCTAGATCTGCTCCCTCCTCTCTCCTGACAAAGGGTGTGTTTTTGAGGGGAGTGGGGTGGCTGGGAGTGGAGATGAAGCCTCAAGACCAAGATGAGAGCTGGACCCTCCCAAGCGGTAGCAGGGACTTCTTGGAGGACATTCCAATTGGATGGGGGGCCAGCCAGCAGGGGTTTCCAAGGGCCTAGGCAATGTAGAGGTTACTGCAGGGCTGACCAACCTCAGTAGGGGGGTAGGATTCTGGTACGGGGGAGTGGGGATTTCTTCAACTCAGACTTTACAGAGGAGGGGGCCTCTCAGAGCCTATGAGGTGAGGCCTCAGACCCCATCATCCTGCTGCCTAGAACGCCAGCCGGCCTTGTGCCTTTAGCCAGAAGCTCCAGCACTGCCAGATCAGAGATACACTCTAAGGCAGGTGCTGCCTGCCTTCTTGGCCCTGGTCTGGACAGGGGTTCCTGCCACCCTCTTTAGCCTCCTTCAAAACAAATGCTTCAGTCAGCTGGCTCATCCTTCTCCATGCACTGGGCTCCTCATCTTATCTGTGCCCTCCTCCAGGTGTCCCTTCACTACTGCGCCCTGGAAATTCAACCCCTTGACCCCTCCCTTCCTCCTCTCTTCCCCAGCCTGGCTCCACATTGGGTCGCCACCGTAAGAGAGGATACCTCAGCGACTCTGCTCCCCACCCTGTGCCCCAGTCCCTGAGCACAGCCTTACTTCCCCTCCCCCGCTCCACTGGGGGGCACGGGGATGTTATTTCAGGGGTAATGATTCTCGCCGCCCGGGCTCGTGGTACCGGGCCTATACCCGCTCCCCATTTTCTCAGCTTCCACAGGAGGGAGCGAAGTCGCCCCACCGCGAGGGGCAGATCCCACTTCCTACCCCAGTTCCAGACAGCAGGCAGCAGGGAGGGACCCCTCGCCTGCAGGGACCTAGGCTCAGGTTCCCAACTGGCGGCCCGCTCACTCCGAGATTTATTCCCAGCCCTAGCCTCCCGTTCCTCCGCCTCTAGCTCGAGGGGCGAACAATTCCCCCATGGCCGAGGATGGAGGAGGCAGAGGAACCGGCCACCAGGCAGGGAGGGTGGGGCGCCCGCGGGCCACCGCCCCTTACCGATGGTGGAGATGTGCGAGGAGTGGAACTCGTTGTCGGTGAAGCGGCACAGCAGGCAGGTCTTGCCGACCCCGGAGTCCCCGATCAGCAGCAGGCGGAACAGCACATCGTACTGCTTCGCCATGGCTGGGGCTGCAAGGGGCCGGGGGCTGCGGGCGGGCGGCGGGCTTAGCCCAGCTCAGCCGCTGCCATCGCGGCCCGCGCGCGCTGGGGAACGCTGCGGGAGGCCAGAAGCCGGGCCGGGCCTGGGCAGCTCGCGCCGTGCGGGGGAGCGCGGAGGCGGCGCCCGCTCTGCGCCGCTGGGCTCGCGCGGTGGTGGGAGGAGGAGCGGGGCCGCCCCTGCCCGCCCCTTCCCCTGCGCCGCGGCGAGAGGGGGCGGGAGCGCGCGCCGGAGCCAGGGGCCCCTGCCACCCTCTACCCTCTTTATGCCGGGACCCCGGAGGGTCGGGAGGGACGTTCTCGTTTTTCCACGGTATTTCAGAATGGGGTGTAGGGGTGAGCTCCCACTTAGCCCGCCTCTACCTTGCTCGCTTTCTGGTCCCACCTCTTCCCCAGATCCCACCCCAAGTCTGGCCCGGGTAGCTCTGCCCCCACTGGGGCACCTCGCTCCCGCCAGAGCCTGGCCGGGCGTCCAGCTGGTTGGTCCTCACCAGGGCTCACCCGGTGTGGGAAGGCCTTGAACGGGGTCTGTATTCAAGGACTCGTCTCCTGTTGAAGGCTCCGTGAGCACTGGAAAGTGTTGCTGAATTCTTCCTCTCTGCCACCTAGCTTCCCGGTGACACTGGGTGACTCGGTCGCCGCCCTCCCCTATCCCCAGTTTTTCTTTAAATAGGGTAAGTGGCTACTGACTTTCTTCACCAAGGCGAAAAGATAATCATAACAAAAAAATCTCCAGACGCAAAAATACAAACTCCTTTGGCGGTGTTGGGCAGACAGACGTCAGTTTTCCCTCTAAGCCACGCAGGATAGGCGCTCGGGTTGTCCGTTCGCGGTTCAGATCACTAAATACCTCTGCCGCGGTGTATACCGGTGGCACCAAAGAATGAATGGGCCTCTCTCTAGACCCAATTTACTACTACCCTGGAGAGAGGCAAACAAATGCTCTCTGGAGTTGAGAAAATTGCCTCTTCCTAAAAATGAGTATTTAGGAAGAGCGAGTCTGGTCCATTAGATCTTTAAAAAGCAATGAAAAAGTTGTTTTCAGCCTGGGTATTGGATGGAGTGTGTATTTTTCAGTAGTAAATCAAGGAACGTGGTAAGTTCATTTCCTTCATTTGAAGAATTATATATCAGGCAAAGTGTCTAAATTTATAATAAAGAAGGAAAAAAATCAGCTCAGTGCCTGTGGCTCAGGTGGCTAAGGCACCAGCTACATACACCTGAATTGGTGGGTTCGAATCCAGCCTGGGCTCGCCAAACAACAGTGACGGCTGCAACCAAAAAAAAAAAAAATAGCGGGCGTTGTGGCGGGCGCCTGTAGTCCCAGCTACTTGGGAGGCTGAGGCAGGAGCATCTCTTGAGCTCAGGAGTTGGAGTTTGCTGTGAGCTGTAATCCCATGACACTCTATCCAGGGTGACAGCTTGAGGCTCTGTCTCAAAAAATAAAATAACTTAAAAAAAAAAAAGAGGAAGGAAAAAATCCTGAGTCCAGTAGCTACTTACATTATACTAAAAGCTAAAGAAACTAGGCCTATGGAGTCCATTTCTCCCAGGTGTGTTTCTCTGCATTGGGTGTCTATGGGTTTCAGGTGCAGGCTGAGGGCTCTGGCATCAGGCACACTTGGTTTCCAGTACAGCGCCGCTGCTCACCAGCTGTGCAGCCTTGAATTCATTACTGAGCTCCTCTGTGCCTCAGTTTCCTCATCTCAAAATAAGGATATTTAGAGTAACTACCTTATAGGAGTGTGGGAAATGAAATGAGATACTGTATGGAAGGACTTGGACAGCCCTTGACATGACACTGAGTAAGTGCTAGGTACAGAAAACTCCCTGGAATGTTGTCCCTGTGCATACCTGGGTGGTGAGGATACCCACAGATGAATATAGCCAGGGATGTTTTCACTGCACTTAGGCCCAACCTGCTGTGAGCCTCCTCCCACCACCAAGGAGAGTACAGAGCCCAGGCTCAACTCTGCCTCTTTCCACGTGGCAGTGGTCTTCCCGGTGGTGGACACAGTGATGGTAAATACTTCCTACAGGTCTCCTGATTGCGACATTAGTGCCACTTTGCTTCTGTTAGATGAAACAAGGAGGATGCAAGTGGAAGCTGATTCCTCATTCCACTTTGAAAGAAATGGCTTTCCCTAGGCAAGATAAGAAAGGGAATGAGGTTTTCTGAATGAATCCAGGGAAATAAATGCTCATATTCACAAATAAGCTGAGAAAATTTGATCATATTAGCAGACCTCAATTCAGTAGCTTACACTGCTTTTAAAAAAGGTAATAGGGGAAAAAACCGAAAAAAATAAAAATAAAAAATAAAAAAGGTAATGCGGAATGGCCTAGAAGTCCAAGCTTCAATTATCCATCCTCCTGGCTCAGCTACTCTAAGAGCTACAGTACAGAGCTGGATGTGTGCGTTTTGTGAGATGGAGGAGCTAAGATTTGAGGCAATGTTAGTTAACAAAAGAGTTAATAGATTAGTGAAGATAACCAAGTTGCTTTAGCCAGGATCCTTGTAAATGAAATAGCAAATTCCATACCATTCCCTCGGTCACTCAGTGAGACATTTCAGCAACATTTCAGCGTCGTCCTAGTTGTGGTTACCCTGGGTTGGGGCAGATTTCAGTAGAGCTGGGAGTCATCTAAGGGATGGTTGTTGAACATCCCTCCTACAAGAAGCCTGGTAGAATCAGTCACCCAATAGTGTTGTATTGATTTTTTTTTTACCAGAGAGACAAATGCCTGCCCCTGCTTACCCCACCCCCACCCCAGCCACACTGAGCATGCTCCCAAGGGCACCACTCTGGGATATGCCATGGCAACAGCAGAATAACTGGATAGAGGCACCCATAGGCAGCCCATCACCAAGACTCAGCCCAGCTGGATCACGAGGCTCCTACACTTCTCAGCATAACCCTATGCCAGACCTTCCACGTCCTCTAGACTCACCCCCGTGTTTCCAGCTCGGGGTGACTTGCTGCATGCACATCACTGTGTTCACGGTGCAGAGGGATTTCCACCTTGTCTCTGGCTTAGAAGAAACAGAACAGATGCCCCACCCCATGGGCTCAGTATTGTCCTCAATTTACAAAATTTTTCTTCTCTTTTTATGATAGAGAATTGGGGAAGAGGGAAAGGAGTGAATTGTTAGGGATAGGAGCACATTGGAGCTGGGAACAATTCTAATGGTAATTTGTGTTAAGGTAACAGGGCCTTTAGTATGATTCCAGATTGTCTCAGTGTCCTGGGTCCAACCTTCAAGACTGCATTAATTTGCTAGGGCTGACATAACAAAGTACCACACGCTGGGTGGCGTGAACAACAGAAGTTTATTTTCTCAAAATTACGGAGGTTAGAGGTTCAAGATGGAGGTGTTAATGGGGTTGGTTTCTTCTGAGGTCTCTCTCCCAGAATGCACATGGCCACATCTTTGAGTGCACGTGGTCTCTCCCATGCCTGTCAGTGTCCTAATCTCCTCTTATAAAGACACCAGTCAAATTGGAGTAGGGCCTGCCCATGTGACCTTAATTACCCCCCTTAAAGGTCCTATCTCCAAAAATACAGTCACGCTCTGAGATTCTGGGAGTTAGAACTTTAGCATATGAATTTGAAGGCGAGGCGGACACAATGCAGCCAAATCATCATATATGATTTCCAGTTCAAAGACAGTTTTTTTTTTGAGACAGAGCCTCAAGCTGTCCC